ATAATAATACAGTGTGTGATCTCCTGTCCCAGCCTGAGGAACAGGCAGTGAGCCTGTCTCTCAATAATAATAATACAGTGTGTGATCTCCTGTCCTGTCACTATACTGGGGCATCAGGACCCACACAGAGCGCAGGGTGAGAGCGCCCCCTGCCCCCTGCAGCAGCCTCAGTGTTTTCCCAGGAGTCTCCCCTCCAGGTACTGGCCAGGCTCACACTGCTGGGCTCCAGTGTCACCCTGGAGGGTACACTTTCACATTCAAACAGCTTATTCACATGACCAGTACGTTGCCCAAGTGTATACAGTCAACACAACATCGACAGACATGTATATACAAACATCATGGGGCATTTACACACAACATACGCCACGTTAATGAGAGACGGGCTCACTGTCTGATGATGATTAGAAGAAGAAGAAGAAGAAGAAGAAGAAGAAGAAGAAGAGGAAAAATGCTTATTTTTATCCTGTTCCTGTTCCCCGACCTACAATATTACGAGATTCTACAAGTATGTGCGTTTGTTTAGGAATCGCCTTTGCCTCCATTGTGTTTAAAACGCATTTTTCGACTCCTATGAAAGATTGCCGACCGAACACGGGTTTTTTTTTCTCCCGAGCGTGCGGTCGGTCCTTCTTGTAAAATGGAAACGCTTCTTCGCAGTCGTTAAGTTTCTGTTTTTCCGTGCCAGCTTTCGTTTCTGATCCTCCGCCGCGAGAAACGAAACTTACCTGTTTTGTGTGCGGATCTGTCTGGCACACCAACACAAAGGCGGGACTGTTCTTATAGTTCCTGTTTTCAGTTTAAAATTTCAAAGAATAATAATCACGCGATTTCCCGGATGCCTTTCAGAGAAACCGCCTGCCACAGAAACGCGCCCAGACGCTTGCATGCAGAACCTGCAGTGACCTGCGAGGTTACATAAAGTTACATAAGAAAGCCGACAGACGAGGTTGATCGGGGGGGGAAGGAGGTTCTCATCAAAAGGTCAACAACAGGGCTGGGCAGCTCGTTCCCCCCTCCCACCCCTCTCTGTGTACAGTAGAGCCTCCTGTCCTGACTGGAGGAGCTCACCCAGCTGTGTCTGGAGAGAAGCCAGGGTATCGGCTTGTTCCCCCCTCCCACCCCTCTCTGTGTACAGTAGAGCCTCCTGTCCTGACTTGGAGCAGGTTTTCGTGGCAACAGGCCACAGTTTCATGTGGCCCAGCTCCTGCCCTGCGATTGTGCCAGCTTGATTTCCGATCGCCCTTTACTTTCACTGTGCAACGAGTCGCCCCTCTTCAGCCCTTATCGCTTCCCCACAAGTGACAAGGACGTGAACTCCCCTCCCGGGGCACATCCAGTCCAGACAAGCGTGCCGAATCACGTGCCCCACCTTTCGGGACGACGCCCAACACCAAGGTGGATGACGGAAAACCTGATCGCTCCAGAGCTGGCCGCTCACAGGAAACGGACAGGAAACAAGCATCTGCATGGCGATGTTGATCTCGATTCTGGTCTAGCTGCTCAGTGGGAGGTGTGGCGGAGCACAGGCCCCGCTTGAAGCGCTTTGAGCACAGAAACAAAAGCCCTCCACCGGGACCAAAGGAAATGACCGATATCTAAAGTCCGTCTTATTTTAACACCGGGACACTGAGGGAAGCGTGCGTCAGCGCCCCAGCCACTGGACGCGCTTGATCCCTCAGCAGTGATCTGGCAAGGGCCTACAGAGAAACCCCACACCCAACCAGGAGGGCAGAGAAGCCGAGGCCCCCACATGAAATTCCGGAAACGCGCCCCACACATCGCTAGTGGACAGACGGGACAGATAGAGGAGTTTGTGGCTTGAATACAGAGCCGAGAAGGAATCAGACTTTGACTCGAGTGTAAAAAACAACATGTACTCTCACACACTGACACACTGACACAAACAATCACACACAATCGCACTCACACTTACACACAGTCACACTCACACACTGATACACAGAAATTCACTATCCCAGCAAGCAACAGGCACAAAACAGGACACACCCTGGATAGGACACCAGTCCATCACAGGACACACACAGACACACACACCCTGGACAGGACAC